TTTTCAAGACAAACAGTCTAGACCAATCAAAGTGGTGGTTAGAAATTTACACCACACCTGCAAAATAGAAGATATCACTGCAGATCTAAAGGATAAAAAATTTAAAATATTGGATGTTTACCAGCTTTTGAGAAGCAAAGACAAAACTCCGTTACCCTTATTTGTGTTAACCTTCAGCAGAGAAGAAGGCATTAAAAAAATGTACGAAATTGGAGACATTTTACATATGAAAGTCAAAATAGAGCCATTCAAAAAACCCAAACTTATTCCGCAGTGCAAAAATTGTCAGGATTATGGACATACCCAAAAATATTGTGGAAAAGAACCGAGATGCAGGAAATGTGCTGGCAAGCATCACACAAAAGACTGCAAGAAACCTAGCAATACCCCGGCCAAATGAATACACTGTGGCGAGGCGCATCCTGCCAGCTACAGGGGATGCACCACAGCCATAACGCTACAAGAGTTACGAAACAAAGCTAACAATAAGAAGTTACCAGATAGACCGCATTCAGAAGCAAGCAACAATAGAGAACATGGACAGAGACAAGTAGAAGACGATATAACATATTCCCAAACAACAAGGGGACTAGGTCAAGCTCAAGGAACAAGTAGTGCTGATTCTACAACAGTAATGCTACAAAAAATTATGAAACAGATTGAACAGCAGGAAAAAAGACAAGAAGAGTTCAATAAATCTATACTTGATAGACTGGCCCAATTGGAAAACTTGCAAAGCCGTCGATCAAATCGTGCTGGTAAGTGATTTGCGAATACTTCAGTGGAATGCAAATGGACTTCTGCAACACCAGCAGGAGTTGCAAGTTACATTAGAAACCCAGCATATTGATGTATGTTTGGTTTCGGAAACACATTTTACAGATCAAATGTATATTAAAATAAACGGATACCAAATCTATCATGCACTGCACCCGCAAAACACTGCAAGAGGCGGAGCAGCCCTAATAATAAAACAAAATATAATTCACTATGAAACTGAGAAAATACAGGCTGCGAGTGTGAGCATCAAAACGAGAAAATATGAAATCACGGTAGCAGCAATGTATTCACCTCCACGGCATAATATTGACAGGAATGAGTATTTCTTCTTCTTTAATAAGTTAGGAGAAAAATTCATTGTCGGCGGAGACTTTAACGCCACACACTCATTGAGGTTCGCGCTTGACGACGAAAAGGGGAAAGGAACTGTACCAAGCCATCGCCAAATTAGAAGCCAAATGGCACTCAACCGGAAAACCTACCTATTGGCCAACAGATATCAATAAAGTTCCAAATCTCCTGGATTTTTTCGTCTCAAGAAAACTAGGGGTAAGTCATGTACATATTGAAGAAAAACAGGGACCATCGTCTGATCATTCACCGATCTTACTAACGATCAGTGAAAATGTCATAACTAAACAATCAAATCCGACCCTAACAAATAAAAAAACTGACTGGGAAAGTTTTAAACTGGAAATTAACGAAAGAATTAAGTTGAATGTGCTTATTAAGTCAGTAGATCATTTAGAATTTGAATCAAGAAAATTAATTAATGATGTTCAGCAAGCAGCATGGAACAACACCCCAGAAATAAGGAGAAGAACCGATGGAATAAACTACCCCAAGAAAATACGAGAACTTATTAAAGAGAAGAGGAGAGCTAGAAAAGAGTGGCAAAAATCCAGAACGAGAGAAAACAAAACCGTACTAAATAACGTGACCCAACAACTAAAATGGAAAATTACAGAAATTAAAAATGAGTCAATAAACAAGTAACTGAGGGAACTAACTGATGATCAGAGCTCAGATAATTCACTCTGGAAAGCCACCAGGAGATTAAACCGACAAATAAAACCAATACCTCCAATTCGGGAAGAAAGTGGCACCTGGGCTAGAGACAACTGGGATTATTAAAATTACCCATTTAAATAATGCATCGTTTCGCTTAAAACACGTTCCTATGTTGTGGAAAACGGCAGATGTAATTATGATACCAAAACCCGGCAAAACTGTAAACGAAGCTAAATCTTACAGGCCCATTTCTCTTCTGCCTGTGTTATCAAAATTATTTGAGAAACTTTTTCATAGAA